AGCAGACACACACTGAAAGGTGCATGGGCCCAATCCTTCCTTTTTTCTTTTTTTTTCTTTTTTTTTTTCTTTTTTTTTTTTTTTTGTTGTTTTCCTACTCCTCTGAGTGGATTTCTGCCTTTCCCATTCATTCCAGCCAGGATGCTGCTCTGAACAGTGACTCAAACCTTGCAGAGTCATCCCATGGGCCTCCCAAAAAACAGAGAAGCTTGAAATGAGATTTCTGAAAGTACAAAAATCATCGAGCTGAGCAGTAATGGGAGGCCAGAGGGCTTTGGCTCACTGCAATATTTAGAGTTCTCAGGGACTGCAGCCTGGTGCTCTCACTGCTTGCCCTGTTTGTAGCTACACTTTGTGTCCCTCTTACATGGACCAGGATCTGCACTTGGAAATCACACTGAAAACCACAAGCTAGTTAAGCCGTAACAACAATCACTACTTTTAATGATAAACTGTTCTCCATCTGCGTTTTTGTTTTTGATCTTCACACGTCCAGGTGCAATGAGGGAAGAAGGGAACAGCTGCTAGGGAGTGCTGAAACCCCAGAAAATAACATCAGCCCAGGCATCCCTCACTGTGTGCTTCATGCAGGGTGCCTGGACACGCTGGAGGAGAAACCTGAGGCACCAAATATCACCAAGCACCTTCATCTGTTTATTACAATCACTAATCAGCATCTGGGAATGCAAATGCACTTACACAGGTCAATGAATAAAACAGAAGAGAGTAGCTAGGGGAAAAAAAAAGATGCTAAATACAACAACCTTGAGTTTTGAGCACTGACTTTGGTACACAGAAACAAGAGGGGGAAAAACAACCCACAGCAAAGTCAGCCAAGCTCACAGGTCTTCACCTAAGCTCTGTCTGAGCCTAGAAGGGCAATTAATTACAAATACACAGATTATGAACTGCAATAATCTATTATGAACTACAATAATCTAATCTACAATAAGCCTAGGAACAGTGACAACGGGCTGGGATTTGGTTCAGTGTGGTCTCAGCAGTTCCTGTGGGCAATACCACAACGCCCCTCTAGTCCTACACACAGTAAAATATTCAATAGTCAAGTTCTACAAAGAGAAGTACCTGGGTTCCTTTTTCCCATTCAGAGGGAAGAAATCTTCCCTGCTATTTAATCAGAGTGAATGCCATGACACCCTGCAGTTCTCCCAGCCCCAGCAGCCTTTTCCTAGGCACACTTTCAGCAGGACGAGGATTTGTCTGAATGAGCAGAGCTCAGAAGGGTGGAGATAAGCAGAGCAAAAGGGTGCTGGGAGCCCCAGGTGCACCCACCCACACTGCAGAGCTTTGCTCCAGCTCAGGATGAAAAGCCATTGGCAGCTGCAGTGCACAGAGGGAGCTCCTGAATTATCCTGGCTCCTGAATTTGAATTATCCTGGCTCCCGAATTATCCAAACTCACCCTGGGGGTTCCCTGGCCCTGGAACCCCAAGAGAAGCACAGAGAGTGGGCATGGGATGATGCAGGATTCCCTCCTAAGGTGCAGCACACCAGGGGGAACAAAAAAGAGCCTCTGACCAAATTCATTGAAGCCCATGTTGGTACTCCAGGTAGATAATCACGATAACATCGATCTTCCCTCTGCTCTTTGAGTTACTCCCTTACCCAACAAGATCTGCTAAGGACTCAGGGTGTGCTGCGGAGCTCCCCGCCCTGTGGGCCAGGGGATAATTCTGACCCCAATCAAAGCACATATTCCAGGTTTCTTTTCAAAGTGGAGATGAGGGGAACCCCACAGACCTTTCAGGATCTCACAGCTCACGACAGCACATTCAAACAGCACCTGGTGGATCAATTTCTTTGATAGAACTCATCCCACTAATGATTTGGAGTTTTTTAGGAGTCTAACCAAGAAAGGACAATTTAAACTTGTTATAAAACACTGAGCACATCACCACCAGAATATGGTACAAGATTCCTGCTCTGTTTTCATTCCCATGCCGCTCCCACACCCTGTGCTGGGACATCAATTTTCATTCTCCACCATTTAGGGTTGTTCTAGGGTGGGCTTTGTGCTAGCAAAGAACCCACGATCTGTAACAAAACTGAATTTCTACTTTGCTGGACAAATACACCAAAAGAAATTGTGGCATCTTGGTGGGTTGCTAAGCAACCCAGAGCTCCAGTGTCACTTGTTTGTGATCAATTCAAGTCATTCACAGGGCTCTGAAGCACCAGCTCAGGAATTCCAACAAAATCTGTGCCTTGGGAAAGCCAGGGGGACTTCCTGACACACAATAACACTTTCTTTCCTCGAAGATAAACTTTGTAGATGTTCTTTTGATCTGTGTGATGTGTTAATCCATTATTCTGAACGTACTGCTAATGGGAAAAGCTATAATTAACTAACTACAGCATTGTAATGCGTGCGAGATAAACTGATCTAATTAGTAGTGTTTAAAGTAGTCCCTGTCCTCTCCCACCGGGGAAAGGAGCAGATCCTTTCTGATCACAGGAGCAACTGTCCCCAGCATCGTTTCGTGTAAAGAATAAATTCCTTTTTGTTCCATTTCCCCCTCCCAAACAGAAGTGATGAAGTAAATTTTTACTGGCAAACAAGGTGGACCCAGTCCAAGGCACTCGAGGTACACATGCAAGCTGTGAATAATGCAATCTTTCATTTAAATAAGGCTTATCTGTTGGCTTTCTTGGGGTGAAGAAGTGGACTGTTATACTTTCATGCATGAAGTTTAATTACTGAAGTAACTCATACTAAATGCCCACAATAGTTGCACTCACTGAGTTAAATGTATATTGCTGAAGCAATATACATTTATTATGTACAAATAATAAAGTCTCTTTATTTCAGCCTTATATTCAAGACTCATCCCATCCCTATTTTGATAAAAAACTATAACAAAGGAAGAGTTTAAAAACAAATTGGTTTCCAAGCTGTGTGCTGCATATGGCAACATTTCAACTCCTTGATTGCCGGCAGGTGTTTTTTTACTGAAGATATTTAATGATAATTTCATATACACTGGGCAGTATTTCTAAAGAAATTACCTCCTGCAAATCTCGGTGTCCTGTCCCGTGCATCTCATTTTAATGTCACATGATCTGGACTTGTAGTTCCTCTGCAAGCCAGACTCCACTGGCAGCAGATGCTCAGCCTAAATGAGCACCAGAAACTGATGAACCAGAATTTCCTAATTTTTGATTAATTTTTAATGACCCATTGAGAGAGAGAGGGCTTTATTTGGCTTGGTTTTTTTAGAAACACAATGAAAATTTATTAGTTTTAAGGCAGAGAGAAGTGTTAACACAGCAGGAGTTGTGCACTCTGGTATCTCTTATCAGAAGATAAGCAGAGGCACGTGGGAAGCAATGGCCAGAGGATGGCAAGCACAGCTGCAACGAGGGAATATTTCATGTTCATAGATGGCTAAAAAATACATATTAAAGTACAGCTTTTCACCTCCTCTCCTTTCCTCAGACCTGGCTCTAAAACTGTAACATTTATTATTTATTGCTCATGGAATGGGATTTGGGGGAGCTACACAGCACACATGAACTCAGTCACACCGAACCCTTGGCAATGACACAGAAATGCCACCTGTCACCACTCTGGTGAAATATTCCAAACCCACATATCAAGCAAAAGTATTCCCAGGTAGTGCTGAACACCTAATCCAACAAAACACATCTCAGTTCCATCCTACCCCAAAGGAAGCCAAGCATCCCCGAGGATGGAGGCGGCAGATGCAAAGCCCACGTTCATTTGCCGTGTCTGACTACAGGAACACAGAATCTCCCTGGGCTGCGTTGCCGAGCTCGCCGATGCTCTCTGATCGAGCAACAGCAATCGATAACACACACAGCGCAGCCACCGAGCCCAGCCACCGAGCCCAGCCATTCCCGCAGCGCTACACGTGGAATTACACCGCTTCCCAGGGAAAACACACCAACAACCTGGGCACCGCGGGAATTATTGAGGAACTGCAGCGAAACCACCGCAAATCCTCTCTGAAACCATTTGGGAAGATGAAACAAGTGTCCGCTAAGATGCAGGACATCAGAATGGCAAACTTGAGCCCGCCTAAAGCAGCACGGGACTGAATCGCTAACCCTCCCAGGCGAGCCCCCGGACCATGGCTCTGTCCCCGGGACCCTTCGTGCTGTCCCCTGGCCCTGTCCTCTGGTCCGTGGGTCTGTCCTTTGGTCTATGGCTCTGTCCCCTGGTCCGTGGCTCTGTCCCCTGGTCCGTGGCTCTGTCCCCTGGCCCCTCCGCGCTGTCCCCTGGCTCCGTCCCCCGGACATTCCGCGCTATCCCCTGGCTCTGTCCCCCGGTCCTGTCCCCCGGTCCGTGGCTCTGTCCCCTGGCCCCGCAGGGCTCCGCACCCCGAAACTTCCCGCGGGCAGCGGCTCCTCCGCCCGGGGAGCCGAATGCGGGGAGAAGGGGCCGGACCGGCTGCCCGGGACCCCCCGATCCCCCCGCTCGCCCCGAGCCCGGCTCCGCTTCCCATCGCTGCGGGACCAGGTGCGGTGCCGGCAGCAGGAAAAGCAGTTTTCGAACCAGAGCGATAATAATAACAATAATAATAATAATTAAAGAGCGCTTTGGGAGCCGGGCAGGGCGGCCCCGAGGCCGGACACCCCCGAGCCCTCCCCGCTGCCCCGCCGTACCTTGAGCCCGGGCGGGCCGAGGGGTCCCGGTGGCGGCGGCGGCTCCGCAGCCCCGTCCCGGCGCTCCGGATTAATCGCTCCACCCCGAAAAGGAAAGAAAAAAAAAAAAAAAAAAAAAAAAAAGAGGGAGGTAGGTGGGGAGGGAAGGAGGGAGAGCGGAAAAACCCAACGCAACCACCCCAAAGCCAGCCCCGCTCCACACCCACGAGGAGGGAGAGGGTCCCTCCGTGACTGGCATCGCTAGCTCCTCCGGCGGAGCTTGCGGGCAGCCATGGCAACCAGCCCCGCGCTCCCCACGGCCTCCCCCGGGCCGCGGCCACCCCCGCCCGGCCCCGGCCCCGCTCCGGGTCCCACCTGCCCGATCCGAACCCCTCGGCCGGAGCCGGCGGCACCTCCGCTGCTCCGGGCGGCACCTGCGGATGCGGGGAGGGAGGAGAATGGAGCGAGGGGAGCCCCTGCCCGCCCCCAGCCCGGGGGGGCCGTCCCGCAGCCGGGCAGGTGCCCCCAGGGCCGGGCAGCCCAGAACCGGGCCGGGAGGAGCAGAACGGAGCGGCCGAACCGAGGGGACCCGCGATGCTCGGATGCTCTCGCTCCGCCGAAACCCGGGAGAGGAGAGCGAGGCGCTGCCGGGGAAGGGACGGTCCCCGCCTGCTCTCACCCCTCTCTGGGGTGCGGAATTGTCGCTGCTTTTCAGAGGAAAGGATGGAGATTAAGAAAACCGCGAGTGGGTTTAGCCCTTCCCCCCTTTACCCCTACTAAATCCTCATGTACCCAATACAAAATCTCGGAAAACCCTCTTTTCCTCGGTTTGTCTGGTTTTTATTTTGGCAAATGCCCCCCGTGTGCAGCACATGACCACAGACCCAGCTCAGGTTCACGTGTGTGCTTGAGCTCCCGGACTCTGCCTGGGCGCTTCATGCCCCGAGTGATTGGTAAAGACAGTCGTCACAAACCTGCCAGTCATTGTCTTAAGCACCCCGTCCCAGAGGTGGGGAAGGTCAGACAGAGTCATTTTCATGAGGGCTCGGACTCCTCAGACGTTTCTTGACCTTTGGGTGCTCCTCTTTTCTCTGAGCCTTGCCTAATGCAATGAACAATAATCACAGAGTAACATTCACGGGCATTAAACCATAAACCCACCCTACCGAAGCACAGTGGCACTCCCGGGGATTATTAGCATTTGGGTTAAAGATTTTTGGGGCAGTGGCAATTGGAATTTGTGGATGTACAGGCCAACTGGTGGTGTTTAGCTTCTGCAGATTTAAGTAGGTGAGCTTGCCTTTTGGATGAGGAGTAAATAATTAAATTTAAGGGAAGGCGTTATAAAGATGTCAGTAAAAGAAATAAGATTTGAAAAGTAGAAGGGAAAATGGCAGAATAGTTTAATGTATTCGTTAAGTAAATGCGAAACAGTTCAAGCAATGGTAAGTTTGGAGTCATGCAGAGTCAGGCAATTAATAGATAGAATTTTTATATTCACCTATGCATGAGTGAGCTGGCACCAATATAAATGCGTGGAGCAGAGCATGGAAGGTGCTGAGGAAGCTCTGAAGTCGGGCAGATTTCAGTGTGGCAAACACCCAGCCCAGGGCACACCAGAGGACTGGGAATCCTCCTTTGGGATCCTTCCCTCCATGCCAGACCCTGAATTGAGTCACTGTTCCATCCAAAGACAGTGAAATGTTATATTTACAGCACATTGCTTTCCAAAGCAACCAACAGCTAAGCAACAGACCTGTGCCCTGTGAGGGGAAACTCAGGAAATAAAGGACAAGGAGCAGCTCCAGAGGAATGTCTGGGGGCTGCCCATGGATTGAAAAGCCATTTGAGCCAGCAGGGATTCACTCCAATCCAGAGGTCTGGAGATTCACTGGAGCCTTGGCAATAACTGGAAGTGCTGAGGGTGGGAAGCTGCTTGTCTGGGAGCAGAGATAAGAGAGCTGGGAGAGCCAGGGAGAGCTGGCATTGCCCCTGCTGCCATTGCCAGGAGCATGAAAAGTAAAACCAGGGACTCTCACTCACCCTGTTGGAACCCTGGATGATGAGAATTTTAAATTTTCTGTGTTGAAAGGCGCTGAACCTCAGGAGAACACTACATTTGACCTGAGGCCATGGAGAGGGCTTCCAAAATTGATAAATCTGGGATTGTGGGTGTGGAGTTTGAATGGAAGTGTGTAATATCACATGGTGGAAAACTTAAAGTTTAAGGTTTTAAAGTACAGCGACTAGGTCTGATCAAGAAGAGTTTAATGTAGGGTGTTAAAGTTTGAGTATTGGGAAGTATAGAATATATTGCTATGGTATAGCAATATATAGAGAGCTAAGATGGAGGTTTTAGGGTGGCCAGTCCTTTTCCTTCACCTTCTTCTCCATGGGTTTGGGTGGTATCTTGTAATTGGCCAGAAATGTCCACATTGTGAGACATGGGTGATTAGTTATGGGGTTAAAGTAAAAATAATTTGGATGTCATTTATTAATTGGATAGTTTTTTTCTTAAAAGACCTTGTAGAGATAGACACAGGGCCATTTTGTAGCTTTTTGTAAGACTGTAACATAGATAAGAAATAACAAACACCTGAGTCTGAACACAACATCACATCCCCCTGCCCAGGCAGTGCTGAGCCCCACCTGGGATTCCTCAGCAGCCCCAGGAGTTTCCAGGCTGATTTTTGCAGCAGAAAGAAGAGAGGCACCAATTCCATGACCTGCAGAGGCTGCTGCCAAAATCAGCTTCCAGCTGCCCATCCCTGCATCCCTGTGCCACACAGGGAGGGGAGCTGGGCTTGCAGAATGCAGCCACCCCTCAGACCTTCATTTCCCTGCTTAGCTGGGCCAGATTTTAGATCCTCCCTGTCAATGGGATCCTCCCATGTTCAGGTTTGAGATCATAATGTGGAAAACATTAAATGGTTTTAATTCTTCACAGAATCATGCACAAAGTTTTTCTTCTGCTAGGAAGCCAGCTGATAGCAAAGCCCAAGGACAGCAGCTTCCCCAGAGCTGCTCCACAGTTGCAAAATAAAATAAAATGTGTTCCTGTTAATAGTAATAATAACATGGCACTAGCTAAATCTATTTGAGAATAGGGTTTGCCTTAAGTAAAGTGTAAATAGACACAATCAATCGTGCCTCACATCTCACTGGGCTATGAAATGGGGCAAATGTCGTGGCACTTAAGTCTGCACCAAACAAAAAGAAGGACAGAGAAGCTCAGTGTGGTCCTCTCTGCATCTCACAAAACTGCTCTTTATTTTGGGATTTCCTGTTGAAAATCAAGGGGCCTTTTCATCAGACCCTCTGCTTGATGTGAGGATGAGACAGCAACACTGCTGGAAACACTGGAAAAAATTAATTCTCTCTAGTCTGGTACTGATCACATATTTAAAACACACATTAAATAAATAATATTGTCTGAAACCAAGTGTGAGAGAAACCCCTCAGGATATTTACCCCAGGCATTGCGTGAAGGAGTCAGGAGGAAGAGCAGGTGGGTTCTGCCAATCCCAAATGTAACTTGTACCCTGATTCCTGAGTGTTCTCCCTCAAGACACACCCACCATCCCAAACCCAGCTCCAGAGTCTGGTGGCAGGCTCAGAGGATTCCCAACCCTACTCTAAATGTCATTTAAGACACATGAAATACTCAGGACAAAAGAACAGATTGGCCAGATTTTCTGTGGAGGAAATTAATTTGCTTGTAATTGCCAGCACATACCCCATCAGCAGAGCTCGTTAATGAAGATGCAGTAATTTTCTGAATAGGTAGATATGCAAAAAAAGGGGAATGTATTTGAATATCAAGAACCACAATTTGATATGGACCAAAAAAAATAATAAATCGACTAAGCTTCTGGAATCTGGTTTGGTCCTGGACAAATTAAGTGGCTAAAATAATTGATATAATGCCATCTAAATTTTGAAATTATGCCCTGCTTCATGATTTTGCAGCATTTTCCTTAACTTTTGAATTTTTAGAGTATTTAAGTTATACCAGCTGAGCTGCAGCTTGAGAAGCACTGAGCTGCTTTGGGAGAGTGAATTCACAGAAAAGATTTGGACCATTAAGGGAAAAACTCAGATGAGAAAGAAGATGATGCACATCCTGCTAATGGTTTATTAAACACAGATCTGATTGTAAACACACCTCATCAACACTCAGCCTTGAAACGCTGAAAGTCGGATGGGTCCTGACCAGAGAAAAACTCCAGACATGCCAGAAAATTCTCATCCATCCCTTCCTAATGAGAGTCCAGGAGAAATCCACGTGATCAAAGGACAGCAAATTTAAAGAGAATTAAAGGAACTTCCACTTTGCACAGTTCAAAGCAATCCCAGGAATTCAGGCTTTGAAGAACCTGGAGTGAAATGTTGGGATTTTTTTTTTTTTTTCCCTAATCTGATTTTTTTTAAGGCTGGATAATTTTACGACTGCTAATAACATTTGTAACTATGCTAGCTAAGATAATAACAATGGTAATCAAATCTCATGCTTCAGGGCATAAATTGATTGCTTGGAGGGGTTATGGAGAATTTTCTGGTTTTCCCACCACTGAGTCCATGATTTCACAACTGACTAAGTGCATTACAAGGGGGGAATTTGCTGCTGCAGCCAGACAATTGATCTGATCTGTAATAACAAATCTGACACCAAAATACAGCGAGCTGCCTGTCTGCTGTGCAAACACCAAGAGATTTAGGCTCAAATTCAGGGAAATATTTGGTTCTTATTTTCCAGTTGGTTTCCTACAGTCCTCCTGTAAGAAAGCGGCAAATCTAGGTGGAAAACAAATCCAGAAAAACCAAACAACTCCACAACATTTAAGAGCAGGAAGGTAGCAGTGCATCTGAAAGATCATTTAGGCAAGGGGGCTCATCCACAGGTTCAGGGCCAAAGATCAGGATGGAAAACAATTCACAGAGTGGGCTGACTCGTGTATCCTATGGCCAAGCACATATTTCCGTATGTTTCCATCAGAAAAGGAGGTCGTGGTCTCTTTTCCTTGAAAAACAGACACAGCAGGAGATGAGAGCTCAGCCTGGGGATGGGGATTTAGGTTTAATTCCCAGCCGGAGCAGCAAGCTCCACACAAGTTTGTACTCTGCTTCAGGACAGACAGACCAAGCTCTGGAGAACATTTCATCCAGCAGAAACTGGAGAACTGAAGAAACAGCAGAATTGAAGGCTCCCTTGAGCCAAGCTGGGGCAAAACTGGGCCTCACTTTTGTCACAGAATTTATGGAAGGACGGTTTGAGCTCCAGTGATGCCACAACAGAGTATTCCTGATTTGCCATAGAATCTCAGAATGGGTTGGGTTGGAAGGGACTTTGAACTCCATGGGCAGGGACATTTTTCACTATCCCAAGGTGCTCCAAGCCCTGTTCAACACAGCTTTAGACATTTCCAGGGATCCAGGGGCACTCACAGCATCTCTGGGCACCCTCCAGATCCTCCCATGGAAGGATGGAGAGCAGCCCCTGTCCAGGGCCCTGCCATGCAGAGGAATGAGGACATTTATTAGGAAAAGTGAGTGCAGCTCACAAAAACAGCTGTGTGAAAACACATCTTTGGTCCCTGCAAGAGCTGG